CAGAGTACTGCGAGGGGTTTGAGGGACGCTTGGTCCAAACTATTCGCTACTTCCGGTCTCCTCGCAGTCCCGAAGACGGGAAGAAGAAGATGGCGAGGGAGTTGAGACGACGAACGGAAGCGGAGGGAAGCGAAGAGAAGCGGAGAGAAGCGGAGCCGTCGAAGGAGAAGTCGCCGGTTGCCGAAATGGAAACCGAAACAGGCAACCTTTACCTTCACTTCGCTTTGCCGGCTGTTCCACTCGTTTCATTCACGAATTTCACTTTCACGGCCACGGCCATGGCCACGCGATTCGCGTCGCGACCGCTCCACGATCGCCCCCGCTTCTCGCCGCTTCGTTTCGCTCCGTCCCGAAGACCGGACCCGGCCCACCGGGAAAAAATAAACCGGCGTGGACCCAAACCGAAGGAACACGCACTCGGCCAGCCGTCTCGGCGACCCAATTAAGAGACCCGCGGCCCGACAGACCCACCTAGGGAAATTGTCAGCGGATTTCGGACATAATCGCGACATCTAAACGTAACAGGTACGCTCACCGGAACGGGACCATGGTAATTAGACGAAAGTGACATCTGTGTACGGAACGGTAACTACGGGAAGTGACAAAATGGTTGCACACCCGGTAGTTCTCGCTGTTTCTTCGGGCTAATGCGAACCTACGCGTATGTTACATACGTTCACTTACGCGTCCCCTAACTCCTGCTAAACTATGATTTAATTATGGAAAATTATACATCGAGGTGGTATTTAATTTCGATTAAGCGCCACGTATACATTCCTGACAAAATCCGATAAAAATTTCAGACATTTTTTAAATGTATAATCACGGTTGCGCGATGAGGGTATATAATCGTGAAATTTGTCAAAGAATTACTGATATAGAGGAACATTAACGAAATCGTACGTTTCGTTTTAAAAATTCTACTTATTCCATTAAAACAGGGCAACGAGATTTCCTTTCTTTGGGGAAATGGAAATGGAAAGCTTATCTCTATGAAAGTTTCTACGAAAATATTCTAAAAGTAGTAATTTCTACGACTATGCCTTTTCCCAGAATGTACCGCTTCGAAGTTACTAGAAAAACACTGAAAATCATAGAGCGTGCTATGATCGTGTCTCTAGGGAGACTTGGCCCGCACTTCCCGTGCTAACGCGCATGCGTACACAAGCGTGCTCGGTATTCCGCGAAGCTTCGTTACTCTTGCCCTAGCCTGCGAGATTCGTTACTCTGACAACCCTAATAATCCCTAAAAACACAAAGGAATCATTGATTATGGCGACTCGATCACAAACGACGCTGCTGTATCGCCTGCATCGTGGAGGTTTTTACGTGGGCCCGTAAGTAGTCGTTGCGCTTATCGCCGATTCCCCTCAGCGTATCCGAGACACTCGGAATATTCGTTTTCTGGACCCTTTTGAAAGGAAAGGAACCGGAGCAATAAGAGGGCCGGGAACGGTAACGAAAACACGAGGGACCGGTGATTAGCGTGGCGAAGTCGCTGGCTATCTGGGTCCGGAGATTAACGAGCGTCGAACCGAATTCGGCCGATTATCTGGCCGCATTCGAGGCGCGATAAGGCGTCTGGAAGGCGGCTGGAAGGCGGCCCGTGAACCGTGCGAGATGCCAGGCCAAGCCACCGATTACAACACGAAAAACAGCCGCATCCAGTTGGGCTCGGCCGCAGCGGGAGTCGCCTCTCCCCTCGCTCGCGGCCATGAAAATATTGCCAGAAGGACCGTAGACGGGCCGTGCACGTGAACCACCGGGACTACGTTTCGAATTCAAAAGGATGCACCGCGTGAGACGCGGCTCCGCTGCCTCGTAAATTACGCCCGAACGTTGCACTCGATCGACACTCCGCCGATCCTCCGCCTTTGCACGATTCCTTACCGAACGTCACACGCCTATGCGTTGACCCTACCACTCCCCGGTCTTTAGCCGCCCAGAGAAGTCCTATGGAGAGGTTATCGAGCCCACGCCACCTTTCGGATATTCTCGAAAAGTCGCGGTTCGCGCCAAGCTTCACGAATCATAAATCGTATTAACAGAGAGTATCGTTTCGTTTAATCGGTGGGTCACGTTCAGACTGTGTAGGAAACTAACCTCCTTCCATGCGTAATCTTGAACAGAGCGGTGGAGAAACGCATCGATACGCGCGCCTCCAGTCGCGAGTTATCGATGGTCACGTGTCCATGGACAGACATCGATCGCCGATGCCGTAATCCGGTAATAAACGAGCTTCGTGGTAAAAAAAAGAACGCGCGCCAAGGTATTCCCGAGACGGTCTTGAATCGTGATCGAGCTATGAAGCAATCCGTCACCGTTAAACGTGAACCACGGTTATTCTATCGGTGTCTAAAAACTCCGTTCTATATTTTCTACCTTCCGTTTTCGTTCTCCCCGCTGAGAAAAAAATTCCGTGCGTCCCCTCGACGGTTGAAAGACACGAACGCAGCGGATCACCCGACACTCGAAACGGCGCGTGACGTCTGAAGGTTTCGCCGAGTCCCTATCGATAGATCGCACGAATGGTAAAGGAGCGTCAACAGCGACATCTCGAAACGAAACTCGGTTTCTATTCGCACGAATGACAGCCGTTGTTAGATTTAAAATCGCCAGCGTCTTATACCTCGTGAAACGTAGACGTCGAGTCGCGATCGAAGATCGTTACGATACCGCGTGAAATAACAGAGGAAATAAAAAATGAAACGGAAATGACAGAGTAGAGACTACACTAGCGCCTCGCCAGGGCGATAGCGCGTCGCGACTAGCGCTGCTGCCGAGAAAGGGCTAAAACAAAGGAAGACACGAACGCGCTCGGTATCTCGGATCACGTGAGCGCGCGCAACTTCCAACGAAATTCGCTCGAGTAACTCGTTCGACTAGTTTCCACGTTCGTTGATAATGCCAAACCGACGATCGCCACGAATTTATTCTACCGTGGAAACTAACCACCATCTTCCTAATACAATCGGACGTTCCCGTCCACTCGCCACTCTCCTTTCCATTTTATAACCTCAAAAGTTTACAGCGATCGACGATACTCCGGGGTAATCTAGACAAATTTTAGCTACCCGTTACGCAGAATCTTAAAAATCGTTATCGTCGAACGAACGTGTACTTGAAAAAAGGAAAAAAAAAAAAAAGGGAATAAAGATGGAAAGGAAACAAGACACGCGAGCTAGGTTTCTCGGTAACCAGATAATCGTTATCGAAGTTAAACGCAACTATCTCTAGGCAAGCGATTAAACCAAACGAAAAAACATTGTTGCACGAGGATACCAGGTGTAAATTAAACCGAAGCGGGACGTAGGCGAGTGAAATACGCTGGCGACTTAACGAAAAGCAAGCGCGAGGAAATATATACAGGAAAGATAAACGCGACGAGTTGCTAAAACAGCGTTCGTTCGGGACACGCGGTAAATACGACTGGGAAAAATAAACTGACTCCCTCTACGATAAACCGAAACTTAAAATATTACCCAACGGAATTTCTATAAAGTTTCGTAAATTTCGTTACTTATTCGTAACGACTCGTAGCGTGATACACGTACGAGGAAATCCACGACGCGTATTTCGGAAGTGCAGACCGACGGCACGAAGAACGGGGAGAAAAAAAAATAAACACGGATCGAACGGCAAGGTTAGGCGGGCAACGCGTAACGCTTTCCCCGGCCGCTTAAGAAAACAGGTAAACGGAAGTTTCGTCTGGACGGTAAATGTTGCTTGTAACCAAGGCACGGAAGGACAATAGCGCGGTTAGCCGGAGAGGTTATACATTTTCTTCCTAAGAAACGCTCGAGTTTAGTAGCGTACCACAGAGAAGAACCGTTAGGATACTAAACTTTTATTGCGTCCCCTTTTTAGTCGAAGCTGAACGCGTCCGTCGAGAGACGTACACGAAAGCTATTCGTCGCGAAGAAAACTCGGAAACGCGTACACACGCGGTACACGCGCGATTTCGATACACGCGGTTACAGGTTTGTTCCATGCTCGCTGGTAAACGAGTCTCGAAAACAGCGTTACATTTTTACGACCGATCGTCGAAACACAACGAAAAACGAACACTCCCGTCGCTTACTCGGATAGCAACAACCGCGAGTCAAGAAACATAACCTCGCTTTTGGCGCGATAAGTTCGCGTAGGGTTAGGACCAGATACGGACCGACCGAATGAGAAAGAACGAAACGCGAAGAAGAAAAGGAAGAGCTGAAAGAGAGAGAAAAAAGGAGAGGGGAGAGAAAGAGAGAGGGAGAGAGAAAGGAAGAACGAGAGGGCGAGTTGGCAGCATCTACGAACCTATAAACACGCCGCGCACACAGATCGAACGCAGCCACGGTTGTCGCTCTCGTAACCGCGGTACAACGACCCCTGGTCTGCTGTCGAACGAGCCTTCACACTAATTGCGATACCCGAAGATCGAATCGAGATTCGTTTATCGACACGTTTCGTCCACGTCGAATTTGCCCGATCGAGAACACGAGATTTATCGCGTAAATCGATCCGTTTGCTAACGATACTTTCTCGCGTTCTTCGCCAGGGATACAAGTGGCTCCTCCCGACGATGCGAAACGAACTGCCGAGAGAAAAAAAACTGCTCGGAAGAAACACGTCGTCGCGAACGTAAACACTGCATACGCGACCGACCGAATGCTCTCTCTCGGTCATCGCTGTATACATACATACATATATATACGTATACGCATATAGATACGGAGATAGAAAGATATACAGATATGCGTATACGTACATCGAGATGCGTTGGCTTTACCACGAATAAACGTGTAATCGAGATAGAAAAGGCGCAAGGACGGTTAATAAAGGAAAGAAACGGGAGTAAAGATCGAAGATCGCATCGCGGAGCAAAAGGCACGCCATAGGTTTCTAGTTGCACGCTGTGTTTCTCTCGTTCCTTCCACTGCTACTCGTGCTGCTGCTCGTGCCTCTGTTCCTCGAGGCGTTCGTGGAACCACGACAGAGAAGCTATCTCGCTCACTCACCTGTCAGAACTCTCGGAGCTGTCGTATCGATCGGCGCACCGCTTCTTGCCGCAAGGGCCGACGAGGGTGTCCTCGGCCGTCCTAACCTGTCCCTTGAAAGGGCTGCCCTGATGCCTGCCGGCAACGAGGCCATTTGCAGTAACACCAGCGGCACCAGCAGCACCACCACCAGAAGCAGAAACAGCAGCAGCGGCAGCAGCACCACCACTACCACTACTACTACTACCACCATCACTACTACCATCACTAGCAATGCCGTCCGTCGTTTTTCGTGCGGCGTCCTCGTCTCTGCCGGCCTCGCTACTACTACTCTTATCACATCCGAGACGGTTGGCTTTTTCTAACGCGTGCTCGTGCTCGTCCTCGTCCTCGTCTTCGTCGTTGTCGCGATGTACGCGGCACTCGTTCATTTTGCTCGCACGTTCGTTCGGTGGATTCGCGTCGAGGAAAGCTGCGACGACCGCGGACCTCGACCGTCGACCGTCGCCGACCGAGCACCCGGCATTGTCACCGCGCGTCGCGTGACCGGTCATCGCGCCACCCTCGCCACCACTGCTGCTACTATTATTATTACTACTACCGTTACTGTTACTATTACTATTATCGCTATCGCTCTCTTCATTTTTCACTGTCTTTATTAAATCTATTCGAACACCGCCACGGCACTTTTTCGTCACACCTTTCTTCCCGTTCACTCTCTTCTCTTCTACCTCGTCCTCTTCCTCTTCTTCCTCGTCCTCGTCCTCGTCCTCCTCTTCTTCGTCCTCGTCATCGTCCTCGTCGTCTTCGTCGTAGTCGTCATAGTCGTCACTGGTCGGTGACGTAAACGGAGCAATGCACATCGTGTCAACACAACCACCACTACCACTCTCATTTTTACTAACACGCTCGTTACCGTCCACCTCCTCGTCCTCGTGCTCGCGACGATGATAATGATGGTGAAGATGATAGTTGTTGTTGCTATTGCCGTTGTTGTTATTACTATTAGCACTACTAGGATTCCGACGAGGGAGATAAGGATTGGTATGATAATTCCGACGGGCAAGACGATGTTGATGCCGATGATGAGGATGATGAGGATGATTTTCAGGCACCAAAGCGTCTTCGTGGATGCGTCTCGAGATATCCTGACCCGTGCTCAAGGACGTCATCGAACACGATGCGTCCTGACGTTTGTGTCGCTCCCTCGTTAAACGAGAATCACTGTCCCCTAGGTCGGTGGCCGCGTCTTCCGCGGACGGACCGTCTGCCATCTTGTAAACGATTGCACTACTGCCTGGCAGAGGCCCTATGGCACGAGCACGGGCCGCGCCACCGCTAGCTCGCTTCTACGGCCCGGCACGGCTCACTTAACCCCTCTTTTCTACACCGTACAAAACCACCGCCACCTCTCGCCGACGGCTACCCACTGACGACCCCCACTCCCGAGGCTGCCGACGCCTGCTCGCGAATTCGAACGACGATGCCCGAACCGTACCGAAAACTTCCGACCGAGCCCGAATACCCTTCCCCGCCAACCGTATGGCCGATGCTCGCGACATCTCACGGTCATTTCGACGTTCGCGTTTCAGCGGGAAAATTCAAAGAGATTCCATCGTGATCTTCTCTGCTCTAGGTGTGCTAAATGTGAAGAAAATTGGGCATACGGTGTATCGTGATGTACACGTGTATATATTTATATATATATATATATAAGACGCATTTGATGTTTATAATTTACTTTTGTTTATTCAGAAAAAGTCAATCTTTCTGTGAGACAATCCACGAATTTCTCCAATACTGTAATACTGTTAAACGAAACGCTTAACCATGAGCACCATCGGATTTGTTTGCGTCCTGGAATGTACTTCCAAAATGAAAGACACTTTGCTAACGTGAAATATACAGGCAGTAACGAGTGTCTATTATGCTAAGTATCGATAGGCTTCTGTACATGCGTTTTTACACCATGTACATACGTGGTATTCGAAATTCGTATGCTAAATTTTTGCTAACTTCTCTAAATACAAAATTTATCCACGTGCTCTCTACGAAGTTCCTATCCGAAAATACGAAGTTCCCCCTAGACTTTCATTTTTCTCAATTTTTACATATAGATTTGCAAGTAGTTGAAAATGTGCGCGATATTGGCAATATAAATTACAAACATAAGAAAAATATGAAACTTCGCTAGCTGAAAATATGTGCGACGTTGCGTGTAGAAGTTACAAATATAAGAAAAATATCAAATTAACGTTATCCTGTGAACGTGCGATCGTTTTATCGACTTTGTCATCGACCTAAATTTCCTTATGATTCCTGGAATGTGCATGTACAAAAGCACTAACTTTGAGCGTAATATCGATCACTTATTCGAAGCAATAGAAACTTAAGCTATTTAACGATGAAACAAGTGTTAAATATCGTTTTCCGATTGAATACGATTATGCACAAGGCAGGCACTTTCGACATCTTTGCAGCGATTAAAATCCGCAAAGTACAAAGATTTCTGTTCATCTTGAATGTCTATAGATATCATTGGAAACCTTTTGTGCAATTCATCGGTTTCCGTAACGTTATAAAACAAAGAAAATTGGATAAAAATAAAGTTAAATTGTTAGACTAATCTGTATTACCTATATATTTTCATTTTTTATATTGTTGACTACTTCATATAAAAAATGAAAATCGAGTGATTAATTTTATTTTTATAAGCTTCCCTTTTCGAATATCAGGTAGCTGTTGTTCACCTTGTAACATCTGCTAAACGTAAATGTATAAAATTGTATTTAAGGCGATATTCGATGACAACGTTTCCGCAATTATTGTCATATTTCGATACGTAGAATTTGAAGTGAGAGGTATACCGGTATATATATACAAATATATATATATATATATAGACAGATGGCAAATCCACTCTTTAAATACAGTGGTAATAACTTTCGATGTCTGCTCTTACTTATGTAATCTTTGGGTGGTTTACAGAATCTTTAAGTAACATCTACCAACTGACGAATGCCTTATCCTTACACCGAATCTCGGACATTGCATAAAGCATTTAAAGTTTTATTTACTTTAGCCAAAGTGGGAAACAGGCTTACGATATACGTAAAATTACAATAATAATAGAAAGGTCATACTTATTTTACGTACACGTAATCCCATATATCGTTATAACTTCTCCCCTTTCAACAGTGGGAATGTTTATAAAAAAAACCTTCCATCAGCTCCATACGTATTCTCACCATAAATTAATTACGCTCAAACTCGATTCATAAATATTCATCACCAAATATTTCCTGCTATTTCCTCGCAATCTCATTCTAGTAAAAAGTCTGTATGTACACTAATATCTAAGCGAGAACTTTGATCATCTAAATCGACTTTGACAGCTGTAAAAGCACGTCAAAATTCGCATACTTTAACCGTTCAATCGATCGGTAGTCTTCCTACTCAAATATTGTAGAAACTGGATAGGTACTCGGCGCAATTGAAACTAAACTTCAAAGAAGAACCATCGGCGATATTGCTAAAGATTATCGCTTTGGACTATCTTATCATCATTGTCAACCAGCGCCATAGACAAACGTGAAGTATTTGCCATATCCGATAATAAAAGATGTTCGTGGTCTAGGGGACTTCTTGAATGAGCACTAATCAAATTATTATGTCCGCTGGTGCTTCTAGCCAATTTTCGTACTACTCTATCTCGTCTTTGCCTTTCTCTTTCCGTCTTTAATTTCGTAAATTCGTCATCGGAGTTGACACTGGTGCACGAGGAACTGCGGGTGCTTATAAGATCATCCACGATACCACTGCCCATGAAGCTCGTTGCTGGTTCGTAAGTAATGCTCGATCGCGCTGATTGCGTGGTTCGTTGCGTCCTAAAGTTCGAAAGATATTTGTTTATATCGCTATACAAGGAAGACAGAAGATAGTGCAAAATTCATTTAAAAAAATAATCACGACGATCAACCTTGGATCAGGCGCGTATGTCCTGTCGTTAGCGCTTTCACCATTACTTCCCACTAACAAGCCACCAGTTATTGGAGCGCTACATGAAAATATCTCTCCGTTTCTCGAATGTTCCATACCGGGAACAGCAACGGGAGCGCTTGGCGGTGGTGGTCCCGGTGAAAATATACTTTGCACAGTAGGTCTCTTGTCCGATTTCATCGACGTTAATGTCATTTGTTCATCCGCCTCTTCTTTGATAACTCCAATCCTCATAGATCCGCCACCTGTAATATAAGATATATTGAACATGTTAAACGCGATCGAACGCTCATCAAAATTCGAAATCCAGGCATACCAATGGCTCGATTTTGCAACGAAGCTGCAGAGCTGGAAGTCGCGATCCTTCCAGGCGTTTTAGTACCGCTTGACGTGCCGCCATCTGGCCTATCCTCCTTGCTGAACAATCGTTTCAGTACACTGGTCACGCTGTTAACTCTCGGCAGAGAACCCCCTATGTTACTGGGAGTGGAGCCCCCGCTCAGAGTACGGTCCCGATTGCTTACTCTGCTAGCGCTCCTACAAATAAACATACACTTCCTGTTCCATAACAATCAATTTTAAACGTTTCAACACTCGATTTCATAACTTGTACAGCAGGTATGCAAAAGTATAAATATTATTACCTCGCTATTTTACCACTCTCTGTGGCACTCCTGGTCAAGCGTTATAAATATGAGCGTTTACAAAAAAGCCCGTATTGCGTGAAATACGACGTACATCGCGTAACATATTTGATTAATCTAAAAACCGACCTTGACATTTTTCCAGATGCTGTGAAGTGTATACCGGACGCAGCGTCGTCAGCTACATCGTTATGGTACTTTTGTTGATATTCCGCTGCCATTTCATCGATCCTGACCGAAGATGGTTGAAGTTCCTGTTGTGCCGCAGATAATAGAATTCCGGCTGTGGACGGTTGCGGGTGCTCCTCGCGGAAGGCTTGTGCTGCCGCTGTGTACGGAAGTTCCGTGGGGAAGATTTCGTCCCAATATTGATCGCGGATTAATTCCGGATGCTCGTGGTGCATTTCATCGACGATAAGATAACTCACCTTTAACAAAGTACGCATAGAATTAGAAGGGTATATACAAATTAAACTCACAGACTGAATTAAACGCAATACCTGTAAATTTCTGTCGATTATCCAATTAACTTCGAAATCATCGTCATCCTCGCCGAACGGATTGATCAAGGTTTCGGCTACCTTCAACCAACCCATATAAAAAAAGAACTGCAGCGTCGTGAATACTGGAAAATAGAGATCGATCTTCGACGTGGAGGAATTCTGCACCCACTGTCGACCCATCACGCTCGTTAAAAAGTACGTATACACAGCCAACGTTACTACCTACGGACGAAGCATACAAAAAAGGGAATCAAGATTCTCGATTCGATGAGACCATTGAACGTTAAATATGGATCCGGTGCACGTTCGACGCACCTACCTGAGTGTAAACTAAAGGAACGCTAATAGTATCATAGTGCATGAGGCTACCGCAGAGGCCGCGAAACTTGTTTAGCTCGTCTATCAACGTTTTCACGGCGAAGTCGTCACGAATGCGACCCTCCTTCCTCGCTCGTGTCACAATACTCGATGCCCAGACTATCGGCAACCAATGCTTGCTGGGCTTGGGAAACTTATCGTTCAAGCTCTGGAATATAACCAGCTCGTTTTCCAGCAACAAACCAGTCTCCACGAAATGCTCCAACGTGGGAAATCGTTTCTTCACTCGTGGCGAGACCATCGCCAGTACCAGCGTTAAACAAACGCACACATACCTGAAACGAAAGAAACCAGTTCTTATCAACGAAATTACGACTTCGCGCAAAAACATAGCACGGCACTTCGAACAAACGACTCGTTTCCTTGACTTTAATGGAACAAATTATTACCGTTCTATCGCGTCACAGAAACAGACTTGTACTAATGCATGTACCTGACGATGGTTCGGCGCATTAATCGACCTCTTTCGTCGTTGCCGTGAATAGTGGCTGACACGAAAACCGCGATTGAGTCTGGCCACGGTATCACCATGTATTGATTCCACCATCTGGTCATAACAATACTGACGTAAAAGCCCAGGACGAAAGACAGCGGTATTAGATCGCTGTACTCGTTGCAATACGCAACTATGGCCTCGAAGATCTTCTTTTGTTCGTCGTCCAGTATCAATCGGTAGATGCTCGACAGCGAATAATATATGAATAGGAAGAGGGCTAGGTCCAGCCAGACAAGCTTGTATATGCTCGCTCGCCATCTGCAAAACAAATAACGCTTAACGAAAAACTGTATCGACACACCGATCAATCCAGGATATACCCAGATGAAAAAGACTGTAAATATGATTTACGTTACGTTTCTTATCCAAAGCGGTTTCAACGAAGTTCTTGTGGTTTTATCGACTTGTTTCCGAGAAACCTTCGCGATACTCCAGTAATTCATCCAACGACTATCACGACGGGTGCCTACTTAATCACGGAATATATTGGAAAGATTCCAAAAAGCGAATCGTTAGACCTGAAGGCTGTATTTGGGTCGACAACATCTCGCGATTGAACTGTCCTTGAATATGACAATTGACACCCGCGTGTCGAAGTCTCGCACAATTCTCCATTGTTCTCACGCACCCTAATCGCGAGCGGAGTGAGTGTTTACCGGCAGCACGCGATCGCGTCATGCTCGTAATAACGTGGCCCGATATGAACTCGGATCGATTCGCAGAGCTCTCGAATAAATTACGAGGAGCACGTTGCAGGCCTACCTCCGGATATATGGCCTGTGCAATTATATCGTATTTTCGAGCGTGACGCGTAATCGGAAATATTCGTGAGCGTGAAACGAGCGACAACGTTCCATTAAACACGACCATGGGTCGTTGGGTCGTTAAAAAGCTCTGTTACCGCAACAATCGTTCCGCTAATGAATAAGGCAAAACGGCGTGTCGTGAATGCTAAGAAGCGGCGAAGGAACATGGCCAAAGTTGCACCACGTGACTTCGCGTCGATCTTCCTCGGAGCTCGATCAACGTGTCAACGAGATTCCCGGGACGACAAATTTGCCGAGTTAACGATGGAAAGTAGGCGATAAAGGGGTCCTCGAGGAACGAACGCGTGACGCGCGTGCAATTCGGAGCGTTGATTGCACGTGTTCGAGGTTGAAACGCTGCTTCCGACCGCGGATATAATATAATTGAAATAATAATAGCAGGGTGAATGACCAGACGGTATAACAACGGAGATACCCCGACTGATAATCGGACCACGATTTCCTTGTAATTTAGCGAAGCAAAGTATTACCATGATAGGAGTAATAATCCTCTCAAGCTCGTAAACAATGGCTGTCGCGCGTAAGGCCTTATAAATGTCAGAAATACATGGAAATATGCTATACGATTTTCCTGCGGGCTCCACTCGACGTATTCTTCTTGAAATATAATCTTGATTGCGTTTCCCCTTAACATTCTCCGCGTGCTTGAGTACACGTGATACGATTCTTTCGTGGAAGTGTATGACGGAAGTGTTCGAAATACAATTGGATAAAATTTCAACGCGACAGCTCGCAGTCGAGCGAATTTTTCCAAAGACTTGCGCAGAAAATTTCAGCGTAGATCCATTAACAGGGTATACGTTAATTTCCGGAAATCTATCGTTTGTTCCTCGTTGACCGCTATCTAACAAGTACCGTTGGTGACGAATACGCAGCGATTACCTTGAACAAAAGGAAGTATCGCTAGCGTGATAGGGTAGATAATTCTGAAACGTCAAATATCACTGTAAGAATTCGATGAAAGGAAAAATAGAAGATATCTGTCCTGCTTGATCTCATTTACGCGCAACCATTGTGTCGACTGAACGAATCGTGCTAAGTCCAAAGTGCTTACCTTAGGAGTAATTTTAGAAAGCAACCGAGACCTCTGCAGGTAGCGACTTCGGCAGTGTAAGTGACTGTCATCTCTCACGATACACCTGCTGTGCTGAGAAACACGGCATAACCAACTGCAGTTGCCTTAGATCTCGCCGATATTCTTGCCAGAACGCTGTCTCGCTAGAGTCATCCTCTTCCGGCACGCGTACATCCTTTTCTTCCACTCTTCTCCGTTCGACACCGTCAGTCCGATCACGGTTAGGTATTAATTAAACCGCGTTTGACCTTATCTCCGGGCTCTTCTCTCTCGACGATAGTTGGACAGACGAGAAGGCTGCGAAGGTCATTCTCGATGTGCTTTAACACGTCTCTCTCTCTCCCTCTGTCGGCCGATTATGTAATTCGTTGCAATCGCGCGACAGCGAAAACGGTGTTACTCAATGAAATTGCTCGCTTTCCGTTCGATTTGCCTCTTACGCGCCACTTTTCCTCTCGCTGCTCACTCTACGCGACAAACGCCGTCATCGACCACGTGAATTCACCGTTTCGATCGATCGATGATTCACGGTTAATGGATGAAAATATTTCGATAATCGACACCAAATACTTCGAATCGTGTATATATGCGCAGTTGGCGTTTCTTTTCCCGCGCTTTATTTGGTGTTTTTTGTTTGGTAAAAATGACTACTTCCGGTCAACAAAATAAAATCGTTTCTTATACTATTTTCCGGCAATAATGCATTTTTGTTTGTCTACGCAAATTGAGTACCGTGACGTTACACTCCGATTTGTTTAAAGTGACAATCGTGTTTCAATTTTTAACACAATTATACTTCGCGCTGTACTATCGATAAGTCACTAGCACTTCACTGGCTCCTTTCATCGAGACGTCGATAGTTCCAACGTCGTTTCCGGTATGTATTCATGCACACAAATATCGATAATGTGTTTAAGATGCCGTTCGACCGTCGATAATACCAAAGCGTCACAGTTTTCTCGTACGAACTCTACAGGTGGGTTTAGAACGTCAACGGTGTCGACGATAGCGACAATCGACGATCGATATTAACGATAACTAATTGGCACTCGTATAAACCGATCTCGGCATGTTATAATATCAGTTTCCGATACCACTCTTATCTTTTCCCCTGTAGAGAAACACCGAAATAAAAAATCAGCTGTACACAAACAATGAATCGCGCGCTATGTGAAAATTTCGATAGGATATGGAGCATCATTCAGGATTCTAGGAACAAATCGTACGGAACTAGTACGCGATCGACGAATTTAACCGTTCGTGCCGATTCTTCTCGAACGCCTGATCGATCAGAATACTATTTTCTAAACATGATCTTCGTTAACGAGCAATGCCAAACGACCGTACCTTTGTTGCTCACCTCCATTTTTGATACAATGATTCATTTTCGTTCTATATTTCATGAATAATATGCAGGTCGCATTTTCTAATCATTCCATGCAAGTATACACTGTGGTAATCGAAATAGTAAACTCAATTCGTGACCTTGTGCATGGATCATTATCGCGTTATAGACAGCCCGTTATCGTATCGTCGTCCTGGTTTATATCAGTGATATCGAGTTTCTATGAACACAAGTATAATACGTGACACTCGTTTGCTCTTGTATTTCGATTAATTTCTGTCAGATACAGTGACCTTTATTTCCAACATAAGTTAATCGTATAGATATTCGTGTAACCGCGAAGTTTTAGTTGTAAGAGTTTGGTAAAACACTTTTGGTACTGCACAGAATCACGTAGGGATTTTACTCTTTCTGCAGTCTTCGACACTGCGATAACGTAGATGGCCTCCTACGCCATCCCTTCGCAACATACACATATACTAATAAATATTGTCTTTTCAACGTTGTGCACTAATCGTCTCACTATATGTATTTATGACTGTTGACTCACCTGGATTTCGCGGTCTTCATGAACGAGCAGTGCGTTTGCGCAAAATTCTGTTGAAACTCGGCTGTTCGATAGAAAGTTTTAATTATGAAAAGGCATACGAAAGTCAACTAGTACAATTGTTATACGTAGAAAATATCGATTCGTTTATGCATTCGTTTAATACGTAATACAAATTGTCACTTCGCACGAGATTATAAGATTTCTGATGCCGCCCTTGCAACCGTAAAGAACACGTGAATGTAAATCATTCTCCGGAGAAAAACCAGAATGACGCAGAGGAGAAAGCATGGAACATTCATATAAAACAAATTGATATTTCCAACTTAACTTGTTTATTGCGTCTACACTCAGTGCATTACCAAGCAGACAACATTGAACAGGACCAAGGTTGTCATCGATATAAGTACCACCTACGATCAGAGAAATATAATTTTGCCTACAAACGTTGAAAAAATGATTTAATAACGATGAAAACAGTTGTGTTAATTCAAAGATTTTTCATTCACTACATATTTGCGTTAAACAAGTGTTCTTTGTTGATGTGGTCTACGATCCTGTTCCTTATCACGTGACTTCGTAATTGTAATTTCCATTGACTAGTCTAGAAACATGAGATATTTGTCCCACCGAAACGAAACATTCCATTGATTTTATAAAACTACACCAACGTGGTACAGATCCAGTTGTAAATCTTGCTCAGGTCAAAGAATTCGGATATCGTATCTTCAAGTAGGATGTATCCTCATAACAAAGGAAACGAAAACGAGCCTCGAGTGATCCTTGAATATATCTTACATTCCACTTTGTCCCTTTGTCTTGCGCACGCTTCGTACAACGAAATTTATTTTATAATATTCGAAGCACAGCTGGTCGCGAATTTCCCGAACACTAAGTAAATCGCGACCAAGTGAATCGTGCACACAAACCCCACCTATCTTTTACGGAAAGAATACTGAATTGTGCCTGAGACAGTCGTTGCCGCAGCACGCTAAAAGATCTCCCGGCACTCCACCATCAGCCTTCTGTTCCTATCCCCACTGTGACTCCATGTTTCCGCATCAAGCAGTGGTGCTCACAAACTTCTATTGACAAACCACTGAACTAAAATTATATTTAACGCGCCAAAAATAAAATAATGACGCAAGGAAAAAGTAAAAGGATGATACGATTATGCTGCAAATAAAATATAATTAATCAAAATATTTATACACGTGTAATTGGTGAATTTATTGGACGTTGTCGATCATAGTTTTATTTCAAAATGCAGAAATAGTCAATCTATTTTAAAGCATCACACATGATTTTGGAAGGCAGTAGATATCTGATATTAATGAAAAATACAAATTTACAGAACACTCGATTTTACTCATAATCACTATATACACGCAATTTCTCTTAATCGTTTATCAAAATACTATATAAACACATGCAATGTGTCGTCATTGACGTCCAACATATACGTTTAATAGAACCTCTATGTGACATATCATACACTTGTCCAAAATTACAATAATGCAAGCACGAGCGTACAATGCATACGCATTATACTCACACTATGATTTATACACATGTTTATAATTCGTACAATATAAAGTAACTTCATAGAGGGCAATATACATTCTACATTTTTTTTTTACTATTTACACACTTTTACACTTATTTCTAAGAGGACAATTACGACTTGAATAAATTATCAGTTGATTTGATATACAAGCCGAACACGCGCGTATAAATAAGTCCATGCGAACTTTTAAATCGAGTCACCGATAGACATCGATATTACTACTGAATTAAAGGTTTTGGTCCCTAAAAATCACAGCCATCAAATAGAATGAACAGTAGTAGTCTGGATTTAAGGCCACTCGATGAATAACAAAAACGATCGATGTTAGACGATGAATTCAATAACTAACATAGTTTCAATAAAATAAGGCATTTTTTGGCAAAAAAAATGCATATTAAATGTAAAATTATAATACATTTCCTCTCAATACTTTTACAATCCTTAGGAACAGTAAAGGTTGAAATGCGGCATAGGACGTCGCCTTTTTATTTTCTAATAACGTTAATAAAACAGCACTGTTAACAGTCTTCAGTGTGCTGTTACAGCGTGCCGACAGTCTTATTTGACTTTTTAGGATATGTCATGCAACGATAGTTGTCAATGTATCGTGTTTAACCCCACTTCTAAAACATAAAACGGTCAATAGGAACCTATGTAATATGAATAATCTATAATTTTAAAAGCATCTAATTCTACATTTTAATGACAGAGTTATCAGCATACCGTATAGTGGCATGCTGTGTCGAACGTGACCAACCAGCAACAAAACTATTTTCGCTTCTTTCAGCGATTCGTTGTCTATGCTTACCACTTTTTGATAGGACATTAAACGTGGCACTTTGCATAAGATCTGGAGTTATTGTCGATATTATGGCTTTGTAAAGCAATCTAGATAAACAATAATAATAATCACGTATAATTTAATTTCTATAATATTTACTATGTTTAGGAAATGAATGGTGCACGAGTCATACCTTGGCAGCAGTGCCAAAACAGAGGTAAGTATTATTGTAAGCCAATATGTATATCTCATGATAGCCATTTCCATTACCCAATACGAACATAGAAGACCCATGCAATTAACGCAAACTACGTTATAAATTAAACAGAAACCGAAAAATACTCCCAATGATCCCATTACGGCAAAAAGATGGATTATGGTCTGAAAACGAAACCATAACATCGTACAGTATCTGTTATCTAATGTAATATATTTTTGAAACATAGACGTTTTATAAAAATTCAGTTTACCCAAGATCTAATTTCTACGGCAATGTTTGTTAACATGATAATAACGCAACAAGTCATTACAGTAGTTCCAAATTCCCAAATGTCAATACTTGAATCATAGTATACCTAAACAAAAAGAGCATATTTTAACGAATTAAGTAAATGTATTAACTTTCTACTGTCTCAAATTGTTTCGAGGTTATACTAACACCCTCATTTACAAAGAAAATGACGATACTTTGGTACAAAGCATCAGCAATGGTTATCCAAAATGTATGTGGCTGATATACGAGTCCGAGTCGTCCTCTTTTATATAAATGTGGCATAGATAACAAAACACCAGCTGAAGCCACTCGATCGTATATGCCTAATACAAGTGGTGGCATAGACGTGAACATTAAATTGTAGAGCATTAAGTAAATTTGGTCCACCATGACTGTTCCAGTAAAACCGCAGTACAACTATTAAAATAGTAAGGCACTGTTATATAGAGATTAAAAGAGGGATATTAAAAATAAAGTAGAATGTACTATACCTGATACCAGAATAAAACGAAAACGAAAGTGGCGTTCTCGTAAAAGAAATATAAGATCATTCTAGACAAGCGATCATAACACCAATGACCATGCAGCAAAAGAAGTCTGCCAAGCATCGAGAACCGTGAAATGGCAAAGTCTGCAGCCATAACAGCTTGTGTACCTTCATGTCCGGAGATACCAACTCCTACGTCTGCAGTTTGAATCATGCTAACATCATTAGCGCCATCCCCAATCGCCAAAGTTCTCATTCCCAATTGCTCTTTCACTATACGTACAATATATGCCTACAACAACCGTGGATGTTTATGAAATAATAATGTACAATAACGAAAATGGATGAAAAACAAGTGACACATTCACTATACCTTTTGAAGAGGCGTGGCTCGACAAGCTAGCACACTGGAACAAGTTTTCGTTAATTCAAGAAACAGCCGAGTTAATCCAGACCGTGGATCAAGGATAACGGTTAAAGTTTTGCCATCAACAACGAGTGCACGTTGTCTCGACCATGGACTATCTACTCGGTGTGCCTCATTTTCTGCTGTATCGCAATTAAACATTGTAATTTCTCTAATGTTATCTATTCCTTGAACTGTACATTCTTTGCGTGCAGATTCTAAATATCCATGAATTAAGGCTTCGGCAACGGATTTGGATCTCGCTTGTAGCCACAGTAATTGCATCGCGGGCGAAAAAAGACGCGCTGCGTATGCAATATTAACTGCGGTTTCCGGTTTGTCCCCTTCCAATGTAAGGTATTTATCAGCAATACATTTTAAATTGTACGACTGAATTTAATTTAGAGAAAAAATACCTGTTAAAACCCAAATCACGATCCCTGCTGCCATAAGAGTACTCATAGTTTCTGGTACTCCAACTTGAAGTTTATCTTCAATTCCAGTGGCACCTAGAAGAGTTAAATGAGATTCGAGATTCGCGTATGAATCTTTAATACGCATTTCACGATTTTCCATTGCAAGTTCCGCTTCGGAATGCATTTGATGCCAATTTTCATATTCTTGCGCTGTCAGAGACTTTTTAGCCATTACCAAAGTTCGAAGACCTTGACGCGCATACGATTGAAGAGATTGTCGAATTTTTATCGTCGTCATAGAATTTTCATCCTGAGAGGTTAAAGACGACAGTATCTTTGTATCGGCACCCTTACTATACAACACTACCTCATGAGTGAGAGGATGTCGTACCAAAATAGACATACATTTTCTGTTAGAGTCAAATGGCAACACCTGAAATTTAGAGCGTACTATATATAGATGAATTGCTGTTTGATTCGTTGTAGGTATCTCAGTTGCCGCGTATTTTTGATTCACGTCTATTAGCAACTCATGGTGAAAGTACCCTAACGTAAAATAAAATGGCCGAGAAGTACCTACATACGTTTGTTCATAAGGAACTTACATGGAGAATTTCGAAAGTAAGGATGGATTTATCCGGCAAACAAACGATCGCGCTACGTGCCGTTCGTTTAAGAAGTTTCACGTTATAAGCACGTGCTGCATTCACCAAAGCGAGCTCGTCCGGACTTTCCGCTTCGTAAATCGCTGCCGTAGGTAGCAATTCGTCTCCGTTCTTCCCGCTTGCATCAATAACGGGACTCAGCGGGCTGCGTCTCTTATGCTCTCCGTTTGGAGACAATTTCCTTCCTAGTAGTCCAATTCCTAAACTTGGTATTGATGTTACATTTAGAAACTTTGGTCTGTAAATAATTACGTTTTATCATTCTATAGTTAAATAAAAATCCTATCGATAGAAGACAGGGAAAAAAGTAAATAATGACCTTGGTAATTTATTCGACAGTTTAGTAGAATTATGAAGCGTAGATTCTATTTCAACCATCGAAGAAATCGATGATACATTTTCATCGGGGCTGTTTGTCGAGTGAGATAGCGTAGATAAAGGAATAATCGGTGACGGAGTTAAACTTCTCGTGTCAATCATTCTCGTATACCTGCAATAACAAACAATAAATCATTTTTAATCCGACATCTACCATCGATGAGAAAAACGTATACAGACCTCCCTGCTTCTTCACCGTTCTTCTGAGGTTCCTCGATCACTCCACTGGAATTCATGGTGTCATAATGAGGCTGAGAGTTGACGACAACGGTATTGCATATCGCTAATACGATTAGAAATTCCTGCAAATGTTGCCTAAATGTGCCTATAAGAAGATCTTCCTTCAGCCGTGAGGAAGGGGCCAAATTCTCACCGTCTCCGCTATGCGAATAATCTTGTCCCCCCACGGTGCACCGTCTAAATAGCATTTTATTCTCCGTGAGCGTGCCAGTTTTATCAGAGAATATATACTGCACCTATTGGGATAAAAAAAAAGGTTGCTTCTTCATCGAGACTACGCATAAGCTGGATCAATTTGCTTACCTGACCCAATTCCTCCGTGATATTGAGCGCGCGACATTCAGCCGAGCGTCCTGTCTCCGCGTCATAAAGAGCAATATCATGTCCGATGTGATAAACCTGGCCCACTTTCGCCATTTCGATAGTGACGTAAAGACTCAACGGTATCATTACTTGAAGAATGATCACAAACGTCCAGAACGTTAGCATGCTCTCGTAATTTGCGTCTTGGAGAACCGGGATAAACGGGACAAACGTGAGTTCGGAAAATTCGGAAAGCCAAAGTCGGCAACCGGTGGCACCAATCACGCATAATACCACTAAAATCGCCACACACCATATAACGTCGTTGTTCATCCGCTTCTCCAGTCGTGAACGCTGAAAAAGTTCTCACTCCTCAATACTTATGCAAAACTTTGTTCCGTTTAGCTCAATAAAGATCAGCAGGTCGTTACCTTGTATCTAGGTCCACCATTATTAAGCATGGCCTTCGTCTCGTGACCCGCATATATCACTATGCCCTCGACGAAGTCGGTATTCTTTAATAAACACTGCCTGAGTAGAAGATTCTCGGTCGAGACAGGTACTCTACCACCGTTTGGGTGAACGACAGCTCCATGAAACCTGCAATTTCCGCGTTGAACGTTTGCCAATCTCGATTACAACGTCCCCTTATTAAGTCGCCCTAAAAACCAACATCGAAGACTAACTCACCGATATATCCTAGTGCTCGGTTGATCGACCTCGATCTCGGATCGAAACTTGGCCGGTTGGAAGGTATCCTGGAGATCCACGAAACCTCTGACAACTTGCCGTTCCTTCAGATTAGTCTCGCCATCGAGATTACACGTATCGAGGTACGCTACGCCCTGAGGATCGCTACTTCGTAGGAGCAACACATCGGCCGGTACGAGTTCGTTGTTCGAGAGGTGAACCAGGTCACCGACCTTTACGTCTTTCCACGCTACCTTTGCATACCTGTTGTCATCGCTGCAATTACATAAAACGTGTTTTCACGAAACGCAACTTTCATTAATCAGCCGCAGGAACGACTTTATAAGATTCCAAGTACGAAGTACATGTACCAGCTACTTCATATTCGCCTAAACGACACTATTTCTTTCGTAACGCCACTGGAACTCAATGAGACGATCAGCGAAACGCCAACCTTCACGATCGACCATTACTGCTACATATCTAACAAGGACCGAACTATCGTAACGGTCAAACGTCGATTATTCTTAATTAACTTCCATCACGGTTCAACGCTTTCAGTCGCAAGATATTCATCGATAGCAGAAACAATGCGAAGGAACTGCACGAGAAGGAACGTAAATCGGGCAAAAATCGAACTAATTGTACACGCTTGAATTACGGAATCGTCATTGAGTTACGAAGTAGAACGAAAAGTAAATTCGAATAAGAAAATAATCAATACTCCGCACGGCCTCTCTTCTATTTATATTTTACGTTATCGTTCATTCTTTCTTTATCTTACCATCGGATAAATTATCCAGAAGATTGGAAACATCTTTCTGAAGGTTAAGATCTTGATCCTCGCGCCATTGACGAATGGCGGAATCGGTCGCTGAGAAGGTTCCTCGAATGTTCTGCGTTGGATCTTACACTTTCATACAAATCGTACGAAGAACCAACGGGTTTTTAGATTCATAAGGAAGCCATTCGGTCTGATTACACGACAAGGTCAATCGTTACTGCAAACCAACGTTATGTGACTAACGATTTCTTCGTTGAACTTTTTACATCGCAGACTATTCCCAGAATAGCGTGTCAATTTTGTGCATAACAAACATTTAAGGCACTCCGAAATGGGCAAATGTATATTCAACAGCTGCCACGTACATAATATCGAAGAAATTCTTAGTGGTTCGTAGCGTAGAGTTCGTTACGAGGTTAATTCCAACTTTTTAACCCCAATGTCACAGTTTTTCGTACTCTGACGCCGCACATAGGCGAGGAGCGATCAAATCTGACCTAGACTACATTTAAGAGGTCGGCGTTATGCGATTTTTTTTCTTGTCGGATAAGAATCGTTGATCCATATAACCTCTCGTAACCTGACTGGGTCCATATATCGTATACCTTCGTCGAGTGGTCTTAACGAAGGACATGCCCCGTCCAAGAAATATATCACGAGCGACATTGTTCTTTTGGACGACCACGGTACATATTTCTCCAATTTACGAAATCGTCCTTGGAATCGTACAATAGCAATGTCAAACATTAAGGAACAAATCAGGATAATTTACGCTACCGATTCTTTTAATATCTCTATTGTTAGTTGGAGGGAAAAAAGAACGTCAAAGTCTTTCAAAAGTCGATGACTCACGCGTCATAGGAAAGTATCGAAGAGAAGAAAAAACCTTGATGCGTGAAGTTCGCTTTCATCTGGCGACGAATCGAGTTTTTCACCGTTAAACCGGTGTCTCTTTGACGGTAATCGAAACTGGTAAAGCTGAACGGCTCCAATTTGCATTTTGCTTATTCTCGAGGTCGTTGGACAGGTATTCCGTATCCAGGAAGAACACCGATTAGTATCGTTATTGAATGTTCAAGGATGATGATTTAACGGTTTACGAAGGAGTCCCATTGACACTTGCCTTTGACATTTAAAGTAGTATTCTCGTAATTTATTACGTATGACGTGATCTTAAATTATCCGCCCATAGAAGGCGTAGTCCAAGACGAATCGAGTATTTCATTTGCAACTAGTTTCCCTGGTAACGTGCATGCATAAGCTTGAGGCGAGAAGCCTGGTCTGTTTCAGTTTTTACGATAACGAAGTGCTGATAAATCGGGCCCGATGACGGCAGCAACTATGTAGCCTTAGAAATTCTTTTATGCAACTTGTCTTCGGTACAGATTATATGCGGTTAGATAATACACCAACGTTCTAATGACTCTTTTCTTTCTCTTGTAATAATTATTTCTACAATGTAACACGACGACATTTGTGACACTTATTCTCCCATGTGAAGTTTAGCGCATGTTTCAACGCAGCGAGTGAGCAAACATTAGGAATATCACGTTGGAACTTTTCAAGGGATTCGTTCCTTCCGGTCGATAGCGTGTTATCTAACAGAATTTCTGCACATACGAAGATTGGAAAAATTCTTCTCTTTCGATTAAGTCAGCCAATTTATTAAGTATTCCTCTCGACATCGTGGAAAAATAAAAATCGATAACGATTTGAAAATTATCGATGATCATTTTTAAATATCTTTGCATATGTAGATGCCTAATATTCTCGTTTTCAATTAAATTCTTCGTCTTCCACTATTCTCATGGTCACATTCGTACATTATTGTTACGTAAACGAAGAGTTTACTCAGAAAATCAGGCAGAAAAAGACACTTTTTCCTTAAGAAATCTTTCTTAGCACAGCATACTGATCAAAAAAGAGAAAATAAAGTAGAAAAGAAGATTCTGTAGTTGGTGCATCATAGTTCTGAATTAACAAAAATATTTAGGCCACCGAAATTCCTTTGGAATTCTTTGTTTGATTGGTTAATTTGTGAGGCCGTTCCGGGCAACGAAACAGGAGACACTATGAGCGTGATATACGGGCTCGTGATACGATACCGATTCCATGCTTTACATGATGTAATCAATGACGTCAACAATCGTTTAACACCACGAGAACATCCAAAGGGGAAAAAACCCTCGAGCAGAGCTTGAAAACCGTTAGAATATAAGTTTAGGTTCTTGAGGCAGTTGGGAAAAGCTTTTCCTCCGAACAACTGTTATAAAGTATCTTTTCAACTAATATCGATTTAAGTTAAAATTCCCGTATCAGTTTTCGTATAAATTATTTCCATAAAACCGTTATATTTTAGATTCTATACAGATTCCTAAACAGTTTCAAATCTATATTATATATGTGTATACAAGGTTCTTGGCGTTCTTGGCGATCACAAAAGATATGGATGTCTTCAACAGCACTATTGCACAGATAAACATAAAAATAGTATTATGGGTAAGTACAATGTGAGAGAACTTGCTCTATATACTGTATAATATATATCTATAGATTCGAAGACATATCTACAGGTTTTGAAACCTACACAGAATCTAGAAAATAACAATTAACCCATGTATACGGAGGCTGATGCAGCAGCTTTAACTTATACCGACATAGAGGAGAACTTGCTCTATATACTGTATAATATATATCTATAGATTCGAAAATAACAATTAACCCATGTATACGGAGGCTGATGCAGCAGCTTTAACTTATACCGACATAGTTCGAAATTTAGGTTATTCATAAAAGTTCTTCGTAACTGTTTCAATCAGAACTTTTATATAACAGTTTGCAGTTATTTTCAGAACCTTTCCAAGCTCTACCCTTGAGCCTTCTTCATTTCTATAATTATTCCATCCTTGTTACAAATTATTCCTGGTTCTATTGAAATCGCTTTAGGAATAACCTCGGTAAAATCCATGGCGTCATTCGTATTGCATCAAAAAAATAATCACGATGAAAATTGGATAGAATGTATCGTTCGGCGGTTTACCTGGAAGAAACCATCGAGATTTTCATAACTGGTTGAGTTTAAAATATACGAAACGGTTCGTAGAACAGACTAGCCAAAGGTGTTTTATGTTACGCATACTGACGGAAGAAGGTACAAACGAGGAACTGTCGATGGGCTTCATTGTCACGGGGAATGTGTCCTCTCGTTGCTTGTACCCAGGAGAAGAACGAGGAAAACAGCTCGAGGGATATGGCAACCGGTTTTATTGCTACGCCTTCCTCCGCCGTCTTATTCAACTACACGGTGTCTTCGACTTGCACGAGCCTTACTAACGACATCCTTGCGTCTAAGGTCCTGTCGGGGTGCTTTGTAGCTGCATGTGAAACAGAAGAGCTATATTTACGAATACACTCGTTTCGGGGAACGACATGACGCGTTGCTGCGCCCGATAGCGACAATGTGGCAAACAAGAGATATCGATCTCGCCTGTGGCTCCACGTGAACTGCCGTTCGACGTAATGACTTTAAAAAATGACCGAATCGAATCGAATGTTTATAAAACATCTTTGGTAACCCTACTAGATTAAGCCGATCACATTGCTTCGTGACACATGCTTATTTCATGCATCACGTATACCATGTGACAACTGCACAGTTAGGACACGTTCATAACCTTTCAATTTCCCGGTATAACGACGGCTTTGACACGATATATTAGCTACAAGTTGTACCATAACCGTGCCACGTTCGTTCGGTCTCCGATAGACGAATAAACATAGAGGACAAACTGAACGAATAGTCTATTTACTTGGCACAAGCGTTGAAAATGACTCGACACAGAAATTCAAAGGATTGTAAGAACGGAACGCGGATTTAGAGTGACGAGACGATATCTTGCGGGAGAACGTTGTAACGTAACGCCGCGTTGC